AAAAAAAAAAAAAAAAAAAAAAGTGAGTGTAATTTTTGGAGAGCTGGCATCGCCAAGCATTTGAAACCATTTCAATATATCGGGTGGAGATAAACGAACGTCAATATCTTTCGTTATGCAATCATTCAATTATGGAATTATTCGTAGTGAAGCAAGGACATCACAAATTGATAAATAGCAGCGAACAATCGAAGGATGCACAAGAATCGAAGAAGAAGAAATTTTTATTAGACACTTATGCCCGTATTACCGCGGCCAGGAATAAAGGATGCTCGAAACGTTTGCACGAACTCGCAAAACCGAAAAATTACATAAATATGAATCACAATGGGACTTACGAAGATTTTGAAAATTACTTTCAAACGATTAACAAATACAACGCGAGATCGCCACTTTTAAAGAAAAGATAAACAGAATTGTAAATTTGATCATGTAATATAATATAAACAATATCAAATAAACACTTTGACATTTCCATTTCTAGCTTTTATTCGACATGAATATTTATATCGATGGAAAACAAACGAGCGCTTGTCCCTTTTTTCTTTTTTTTCAAATCTTGTAAACTTAATTCACATACAACACGAATATAAATAAATAAATAAATAAATAAATAAAAAAATAAACAAAATGAAATAGTGACATTGAAAATGGATAATTTAACATAACAGTGAATACCTATAAAAAAAAAAAATACAATTAAAAATGTTACCGTAACGTATCTTCACATATCTGTATATTCATAATCTTCATCCGATCGAAATCGAAAAAAAAAAAAAAAAAAAAAAATACTATTTAACCTGCAATCAAATAACAATAGAGATATTCGTTAGCTTATAGAAAACGTTCGTCTCTCTATCCTCCTTTTTTTAATTTATAATCTCTCAATCAAGATAATTTTAATCAACCTTACGTTCATATATATACATATATAGATCGGAAAAATAAACTTTGAAAAATGCCTCCAAGAATGAAACCTCCGAAACCTGTAAAAGAAGCAGTACCCCCTAAAAGACCAAGGGAATCGCCCCCTAGACCGGTCGGTAGAGCTAGAAAAGTAAATAAAACAAAAGTTAAAGTAAAGTAAGGAAATTTCTTCTATACCAATATTTATCAAAGATCATTTTAACTAATACAACGAATATATAATATGGATGTTCAATATATCACGAGATACGTCTTTACGTATCAATCAAACATACTTTAGGGATGAGAATAAACGTAAAAAAAATTGTTA